TATATATATATATATATATATATGCAAGTCAAAAAACAAAAATCAATAGCTTTCCTGTACAGGAACAAGAGAGTCACTGAAAAAGGAACTGGAGAAACAATTCCCTTTATAATAGCATCCAAAAAATGAAATATCTAGCAATCAACCTAAGGAAAGAAACCAAAGACCTCTACTCTGAAAACTATAGTACTCTGAAAAAGGAGATAGAAGAGGATATCAGAAAATAGAAAGACATCACTTGCTCCTGGGTAGGAAGAATCAATGTAGTGAAATTGGCCATACTTCCAAAAGTGCTATATAGATTGAATGCAATACCAATTGAAATTCCAGCAACATACTTCACAGGCCTTTATAAAACAATCCAAAAATTCATTTGGAAAAAGAAAAGACCTGGAGCACCAAATGCAATTCTAGGCAATAAAGACAAGGTGTACCAATCCCAACCTGAAAGTATACTTCAAAGCTACTGTGATAAAAACAGCACCATACTGGCAAAGAAACACACCTGAGGACTAGTGAAACAGATTAGAATATGCAGAAACAACTCCAGACACACTCAGCCACCTCTTCTCCCACAAAGGAGCCAAACATCATCACTGGAGGAAAGATAGCTGCTTTAATAAATGGTGCTGGAAAAACTGAGTTTCAACCTTCGAAAGATTAAAACTAGACCTATAACTCTGACCGTGCACTAAAATAAAAGTAAAATGGATTAAAGATCTAAACATTAAAACAGAAACACTAAACTGGTTGCTGGAAGAGCGGTTAGGTAGAACTCTTGAAGACATTAGTGTAAGAAAAGATTTCATGAACAAACTTCAGTTGCTCATGAACTAGCTCAATCAACAAGTGGGATCTCTTCTTATTAAAAAGTTTCTGCACAGCAAGAAAAGCCACCAACAGTGTGAAGAGACAACCTACAATGTGGGAAAAAATTTTACCATGTGTTCCTCAGAAAAAGGTCTACTTTCTAGAATATATAAAGAACTAAAAAAAAAAAAAATCAGACTTTCCAAATGTAAAGATACTATCCAAAAATGAACATCTGAAATAAGCAGATATTTCTCAGGCAAAGAAGTAGAAATAGGAAATAAGCCTAAGAAAGAATGTTCAACATCACTGGTCAATGGAGGGATGCAAATGAAAGCAAAGCTAAGAGGCCACCTCGCTTCAGAAAGAATGGCTGCTGTCATGAAATCAACCGATAACATGTTGATGGGGCTTCAGGGAATGAGGAACGCTGCTCCACTGCTGGTGGGAGGGCAGACTGGTGCAACCACTGTGGAAATCAGTATGGAGATACCTCAGAGAACTAGGACTAGAAGCTTCATTGGACCCAGCTATTCCCTTGCTGGGTATCTTCCCAAAAGAATTAAAAGAATCATACCACAGTGATATAGGTGCACCCATGTTCATAGCAGCAGAGCCTGTAATAGCTGAAGCTTGGAAACAGCCTAATTGCCCATCAACTGGAGACTGGATAAAGAAAATGTGGCTTTTTATTAAAATGGAGTACGACTCAGCCATAAAGAATGAGAAACTAGAGACTTTTATAGCTAAATAGTTGCACATTGAGGTTCTATTCTTAAGTAAAATAAATAGGACACAGAGGTGTTAATTACTGAATAGTTTCTCTAGTGTGAGAAACTGAAAGTATAAATAAGGATCAGAATGTATAATAGATAATCTGAAATAGGAAGAACAGTTGCAAAGGGGAAGGGGCAACTTTAGAGGAAGGAGAGAAGGGAATTGAATAAAATATGAGAAAAAAAAATGGAAACAAAGTTTTAGTAAATAGGGATGGGTGGAGGGACTAAAGGGAGGGTAGAGAATGGGCAAAAAATTAGGATCAAGATATGTGCTCACTTTGGCAGCACCGATACTAAAATTGGAGTGATACAGAGAAGATTAGCATGAGGCCCTGCAGAGGGATGACACACAAATTCATGAAGCTGGGCTTTGGCGGCACTGAGGAGGGCAGGCAGGCGCTGGCCCTACTGGGTGAGCAGAGCGATTCCACTGTGCAGAAGGACTGTGAGCTCCGGAGGAGCCTCCAGCAAGTGCTGGAGCTGTCCACTGAGGCCAGCCAGGAGGCGGCCCTAGCCAGCCAGGAAAACTGGGAGGACACGCACAGGGTGCCAAGGCCACCCGGCCCTGATGGAGGCACCGCAGGGACCTTCAGGGACATCCAGTCCTGAGCCCTGGCCCCATGAGGCCCTCCCTATACACCACCAGGGAAGGCGGTGAGTGACAGGTCTGTGGTGTGGAGGACTCCAGGGCACTTTACTGCTCCCTCCCCAGCAGTGTGGTTATTCTGTCTCGAGTTTTAAAAAGGAACTTCTGTTAAAAAAATGTTTAAACCATATTTTTATTCATTAGATCATTGTGTAGTCAAAAAGAGGATGCAATTATTTATGAGTAGGACATGTAAATAAAATCATCATTTAGTAAAAAAATCAAGATATATCATGCAAAAGTACAAATCTCCAATGATGAATGTCCTTATATGGTTTACCTAAAATGTACCAATAAAATTAATTTTTATTAATCACATAAAAATGATTTCATGTTTTCCCTGCTGAGTTATTGTCTTGCTATAATCCAACTTCTTTTTATTCTCCTATTCTTCCCTTTTGAAATGTGGGGACATTTACATTATCATTGTATATTGGAAATATTTACCTTTCTTTTTGATTTTTACAAGGCCTCACACTTAGAGTTTGACTTGGGTCTCAGGATTTGAATTTTGGCTTTTTAGCAATGCTTGGACTGTTAAGACTTTCACAAGTCACAGAGATACACTAAACAAATTTTGCATAATGTGATGGATATGAGACTTTGGGGAACCAAAGCTAGAATCCTATGGTTTAGATAATTCTCATATCAGGAAGTTACCAGATGTGACTCAGATGGGCATATTCTTGCTCTGGATCCTCCTTTCTCTCTCTGCTTTTTGATTACCATGTGGTGAGCAGCTTTCCTCTGCCATGCTGTTTGGCCATGCCAGTTCTGCCTTGGAGGCAGTCAACCATTGAGTGAATCCACAGAAACTGTGAGCCCTAATAAATTTCTCCTTTTTAAAGTTATAGATCCTGAGTATTTTGTCCCAGGAATGGGAAAACTGTCCAAAACATCAAGTAAAGGAGCCTCAAGTTTAAGTTTCCATGTGGTTTGAAGTATCAATGTCTAGACTTATCATTAAAACCGTACATATGAAAAATGTCAAAGAAATTCCTTAGGTCTCCTGTGTATATATTATGTTTTATCATTCCTTACAAATACTTTTATGTTTGTTTTCAATATTTTCTTTTTTTTGTACAATGATTGTGTCACCATCAGCCAAGTTATTTATAGTGTAAGGATGGTCAGAGTCAACATATTAACTGAGAACACTTACAGGAACTATGAAATTTCCTAAGATTTTTTTTCCCCTTTCCTTTTGTCATGATCTCCTTTTGCCAAGTTATATGCCAACTGCTTCTGGGGCCATCATCCTCTTTCCATAGCCATTTGGCTCATTTCAAGTATCACAAATGATTTACCACATACCACATTCTTGCTATTTGAAATGGGCAAAGGTGTAATCTGAAAATTCATGGAAAATAAATTACATGGCTTTCATAGGCACGTGAAAATTTTATGTAAACGTAATCTGAGTTTTTCCATCTGTCTCTCTCTTATACATACTTGTGAATTATTAGGAAAAAGGCAATTAGATTTTACTATAATCCATAATTTGGTATCATCCCTATTACTTGACTTTTAACTATTTTTTTTCATTAAAGTCTCAGCTGAAACTCACCTTGTTAGTAAAGTGCCTATTTAATTTCTTTCCAGACAAACATGCTGGAAAACACTGGTCATAATTATTAGTTGTGTTCTATGTCAAAATGCTATTTCCATTAAGCATGTTGAATTTTATACAGATCCTTCATTTTTGTTGTTTAATACTTCAATCACTCCATGTATATTATCAGTATGTTTTATGAATTATTCTAATTTCTGAGCCTATATTTGAATATGTTATTCTATTAATAGTAATTTACAAATAGTTTTTCCATTCACACAAGGGGTATTTATTGGATGAATTCTGTCTTCCAGGCCCTCTGCTAGCTACTAAGGCTAATAAAAATATTTATTTTAAAACGTCCTTATTTCCCTAAAGCTCATGGACTAGAGTTTATAGATCATCTAGTTCAAGTTTTCAATTTACAGATGAAGACTATAAGGCTCCAGGAAGCTTAACAACTTCCTCAGGATCATGCGATTAGAACAGAAGCCAGATCACTTTTCTCTCTGTCTAGTGTAATTTCTAGTTCTATAACATTCAGACTCTCCCTGTTTATCCTGAACACTTTAAAGAGCAGGAAAAGAAATGCTTAGTCCATTATCCTCCCTTCTTTAAGTTACAAATACCCTTTTGGCAGCCTTCTATTCTACTATGTCTAAATCCCATTCTTTTCACTATAGGGTAGCAAATAATAAATGCTTTACACAGAGCTGATAGTTCTTGATTGACTCCTGAACAAAATTAAGCTCTCATGCTAAGGAAGCTCACAGGTTTTGTAGAAACAGGCTTTTCAATTATCCTAGGCCATCATACTACCTGCTTCTAAAGCTGTCCTATATTATATATATATTACAAATACTATAGTGAGCTATTAACAGTCAGAAAAAATAAAATGAAATAAAAAAACTTCTTAATATAAGGCTGTTTTTTGAGAGACAGTGACATGCTCGATGAAGGTTTGCTAGTAGATACTTTTCCATTTTGGGTACAGATTTAGACAGTCTAAAATCAATTCCTCTGGAGACACTTGTCATTGCTTGTCTTCATTTTAGCAGTGTGGCTGAACATTTGTCAGACTTTACTTTTACCCAGAGGTTAAAAAAATTGGTTATTGGTTCCTGGCCTTACTTCTATGGTATAGAAAAATAAACTGACTTCTTTATACATAATTAGACAAAACTGTCTCCAAGAGAGGTTTTTCAGTTTTGAGGATAAAGTAAGAAAATACCATTCCTGTTTTAAGAATTTAGAAAATGTACTGAATTAAACCACTTTGAAAAAAGACGTTCAGAGAATAGGGAGCCAAATATACATAGTGAGATTTTGTGCAGTGATTTTGTATGTCATGAGCATTGTGAATTTTCGTCCTTGAGATGAATAAGTGCTAGGCTCGGAATCAAGTTATATTCAGTTCCTCATGTTTACGTTCTCATATCCACCTGTAGAGGGCAGTAAAAACAGAGGGTCAGTGTTGAAGTAGAGTGCACCCATTAGACTCAATGCAGGGCAGGATGAAAAAATAACACGGATGAGGATGCTGTGATTTGAAATGCCTGGGAATGGATTTAGATTTAGGAATATTTGACATATATTTTGGAATATATTACAAAATATCTTTGGGATATATTTTTAAACACGCAATTCACTGGTGTTACCTGTATACCTCATGCATATCGCCTGAAGGTAACTTTACAAAATATTTTCGGTGTACCTTAATTTTGGCTGTGACACATTCCATGAAGTTAGGTATGGAAATTTTCATTTCTGGCATCATGTTGGCATTCACAAATAATTGAATTTTGGAGCCTTTCATATTTTTGGATTGGGGAAGGTCAAACTGTATGTTTATTGTGTGTGTGTTTCTGTGTGTGTGTGTGTGTGTGTGTGCGTGTGTGTGTGTGTGTACTTATCTGCATATAGTGGAAATTCTTGGGGTCTCTTAATAATGTTGTTTCTTGGAGCTGAACATATGGTTCAAGACTAAGGTGCTTGCCTGTCATGCTCAAGATGCTGAATTCAACCTGCAGCACTGGAAAAAATAATTTCCATAGCCTATTTGTAGCTATTAGAAATATAGACTTTAAGAACACTCTACTGCATTAGCCCATCAGCTATAATCAGTGATGATATTTTGGAGACCAGTAGACACAACCTTGAATTCTGAAGCCAAATCTTATGCCCCAGTGGGTATCTCATTTAGAATCTGGACTAATGACCTTTAAGATAGTGTGACAAACCACATCCCCAGACTTAAAGCTTCTGTCTTTTTTCAAAGTTGAATATCTGTCCCCTGCTTGCTGCTAGTTTCTCCTCACTTTGGCACATTCTGTTCTCCAGCCTCGATGAGATACTCTCAGTTCCCTACATTTTTTTTGGTCATATCTTTCTCCATGCTTTTCTCCCATCTGTTCTTTCCTCTGTTTGATTCACTGTCTCCATACTCCTGATCAACCGCTTCCATTCACAGTCTTTCAAATTTTTTTCTATTATCTATCAACACATACGTATATTCTGCTTTGTCTATAGAAATGTTCCTTTAATTCCTAGTCTATTTGAATTTTCCCTCAGTATGTTCTTATGGCACTCACTGTTATTCCTCAGTGAGGAATTCTGGTTTGTTTATAATGATGTGGATCCAACTCAGTGACGCTCTGCCACTGAGCTACACTGAACTATATTTAGGCACTTTGTTTTGTTTTGTTTTGTTTTGTTTTTTTGAGACAGGGTCTTAATAAGTTATACAGGTGTGACTAGAATTTGTGATCTTCCTGTTTCAGCCTCCCTCAGTGCTCAGATTATAGGCACTGAGGTCTGATAAACAATTCTTAAACTTATTTACAAGTTTAATTTCCCTAACTAGGTCCCCAAAGACCACAAAACACGATTTCTTGTTATACTGACAAATTAGCAACAAATTAATATATTACATTTAGGTGCTTAGTTATTACTTGGTGAGGTGAAACCACGGACTAGGCAAAACCTTTAGAGGAAATTTAAGGATGGCTCCATTTATCGACCATTCTAGGGACTCGGGAAACAATGATGAATGAAAGGCCAGAACAGAGAGTACAACAGATTGTCACTGTCATAGTGGTGTGTTTAACCTTGGTTTTGAAATACGTTTTCAGAGAAAATTCACAATGAGTGAATTATTGTGCAGTTTAACTCAAT